TCCCAGTCCCGCACTAGTGCTTTTTATCATTTGATTTGACAGGATATCACATATACAAATTTGAAATAAAGCAAATGAAAAATAAATTATAGCAGTTTATCATTTCTTCTGTTAGGGTTTATGCTATGCATAAAACTTTTGTATAGCTCAAATTTATAGTCAATTCCAATTCATGGTTTTAGATTGATCAAATATATTTTATGAACTGTTCATTACATAACATACTCTCCAAATTTTCTCACAGCATTTATCATGTACTCATGCAATATACAAAAGAAATGAAAGCAAGCACTAAACTAAAGAGTTCATGTTTACAGAACAGAATAGCAATATACTAAAGACTAGAGCACTTCCTATATATGTAGGTCATATGTTTTTAAAATATTTAACAAGAAAATCATCTATTTATAACTATATGCAAAACTCAAAATTAGCACTAGGAGAGAGATAGTATAGTAGTCATATTCAGAGTCCCCAAGACCACTCCTAGGTTTGATGATTTTCTGGACAAATTCACAGGACTCAACAATGTATTTTTCATGGCTATGATTTGTTACAGTTGAAGGATGCAGAACAAAATCAGGAAAGGGAAAAGCACATGGGATGAAGTGCAGAGGAAACCAGGTGCAGACTTCCAAGATCCTCTCCCAATGGAGTCACAAAGGATGGACTTAATTCTTCCAACTAGTTGTGACAACACATGTGAATGTTGCCTACCGGGAAGCTCATCAGACACCCAGTGCTTAAGGTTTCTATCGGGTTACTGTCTCATAGGCGGTCTCTGTCTAGCCTGTATCAAAATTCCAGCCTCCCACAAGGAAAGCAGATGTTCAGCATAAACCAAATTGTTTGTAAAACAGTTTAGACACAGTGAGCCACTCTCATCAGGTAGGGAATGGTGGGAACACTTCTGAAATCCAAATTCCCAGACACCAGCCAAGAGCCAGCTTTGCAAGCCGGCCTTGCTAAGGATCACAGTCTCAGTCCTGCTGTGTCATCTCTTTTCTGCACGGTAGTTAAAAGTACAAGTGTGTAATCAGATGACCCTAGGCTCCTATCCACATTCTACCACTTAGATAGATGTGACCTTGAACAAGTTACCTAAACACTTTGCATGCCTAAGTTTTATCAACTGTTACATAGCTTATTAATTAGACAATCACATCATTGGATTGCCATGAAAATCGTATGCAATAATGCATGTACAATTATTAGCACACCAGCTGCAAAGAGAAATAACTCAATAAATTTTGATTAATAATAATAGTGTATGTGGCAACTACCTTCTCAGAGCTTAGAATGGGCTGTATGAACAAGACTGAAATGAAATAGAGATTAAATAAGTGTTTTGTTTGTGTGTGTGTGTGTTACCCACGTAGTTGCAACAGTGATTCTGAAAATGGGCAAGCACTCTCTGTAATTTATAAGAACCCACAAGAGCTTCCTTGCCAAAATAAGTGTTCTTTTGCTAAGTGTTATGGAGCCGCAACCGTAAAAGACAGAAGTAGCTGACAGAAGTAGCTTTCAGAAGACAAAGTAGCTGAAATATGGAGGACAATATTGTGATCCTTCCACTGCTCTCTGATGAAGCCTTCCTTTACAACCTCATAACTAGCGTGAAAATGACTATTATACTTGACACTAAAAATTTGGAGAAGGGTTGGAAAACTGGATCAGAAGAAATTAGTGGGTACATCAGGCTGATTTAAGTACAGTCTGATACTTTTGTGAAATAACACATTATTATTCTTGCACACTTTTTTTTAACTGCTTGACAAGCAAATAGAACAAATCATTTTGATGAACAATACCTTTGCTCTACTTAGATATGGGCTCAGATACAACTCCCGGCCAGTAGAGAATTTGCTTTTTTGACATAACTAATGATTAAACATCATGATTACTTGAAAAACACATGCTGAATAAAGACTTCTGGAATGATTGAATTAATAAATAGGTGAATGTGTGACCTCAGAGTATTCTTAGGCCTAAGATTCATGAACAAGAGACACCTGTGAGGCTAGTTTATGTTTAACAAAAATCACGTGTGATGAGAATTCGTTTGTTTTTTTGAAACTTCGTCTTTCTTGTTCATACAATAAACCAAGCTGCCCACAGGTTGGAGAGAGGTATTGGATGGTGGTGTGTTTTACATCTAATGTTAGATGCCTCCTCAAGCTAATATTAATCATTTAGAGATTCTTTACAAAATAAGTACATTTTATTCTATAGCATAATTTTAATTTTTATTCACAGCTGTTACAAACTAGAAATATTTTATAAGCATTTGGTATTCAGGGGTTAGGAGCTTTGATTATTTCTAAATGACTCACTTGTAAAGTATGTCTTTTTTTTGGCTAGAAAAAGATTATAGATGAATTATGTAAATATATCCCTTGCAGGATATCATTTAACTAAAATACATAATTTAAAATAAAATAATTCGTTAAAATTAGAGCTCTCATTACATCTTGACAGATGCCACTGTAGAAATTATCAAAGCCTCCTCAAAAAGAAAAAATGCCAACATATCTAAATGTTTTCTTTAGTGGCTACCCTTAATTAATCACAGTAATGAAAAAAAGTCTTGATGTGGTTATCTCAACATAGAGATAGAATTCTTTGCCATATATTGCAAATTAAGTTGTGATTCATAGCCTATGTTCAAATTTAAATGTACACCATCTAGGCAAACACATTTATAGAATTTAGTAATCACTTAGCTCATTTGTTAGTTATCCAGGCACCGCATAGAAAATGGTATATGTAAGGTCAATGATACCGAGAAGAGATCGTTAATAGTCCAAGTAATTAATAAATGCCTTTGAATTCATTGTGATAGTCTAGCATTTATCAAAGCATCCATCACAGCTCTTCAAATAACTTGCTGATTCTTTCTTCTGAACTATAATACATTGAGGATTATAGTTGTGTTTTTATTATTTTCATCTTTGGCGGCCATCAACCAGCTTTATACTAGGAGCTCAGGAAATATTGCCTTGAACTGACGTGACATAAGCTGAATTGAATTGGGAAGCAATTTTGAGAAAAGGAATCCACACCTAACTTCAGTAATTAATCCAAGTCAGTTTATTCTGACTCTCCCTTTCTCACAAAGGCTATTTGAATTTAGCTATATGCTTTCTAATAAAAATTCTCATTTCCTAAATCACATACATATTATATATAAAGCTATATTATATATTATATATATACATATATACACATATATATACGTAATTTCTTCAGGTGAGTTTTACCATACTAAGGACAGAACTCTATTCTTTCATACCATCTTCTACAATTTTCGTTGATTTTTTCCTCTAACCCTTTTGTTTTTATAGAGCTATTTTTCATATGGCTCTTTTTAGTTTTATTTTGTTTGGTATTAAATGCAAAATGTGGTATTCTGTTTTTGAGTTTTCTTTTCTAAATTTATATATTACCAATATCCTTTCAAACGAATTTGTGCAGTAATATTAAATACTATTAGGCCAAGGTTTTATTTCAAACTTATAAAGAGTAAAAATAATAACTAGTCATATGAAAGAATAAGGCTGTATTGATAAGTAAATCTCAATGTATTTTAAATACTATCTATCTAGAAATTCCCAAGTGCAGTGCAACAGCATGTAGCAAATTTTAAAATTACAATATAAACTAAAATTAATTTTATTTTTTTGGCTAAATTTTGGACTGAGAACACTGACCAAATGTAATATTTTTTTCTCAAAGCAATGTCCCTAGTTTCAGATGAAATATAATTTTAAGTTGAGGAAATGTCAAAGCAAACCATTTACGCATTGACAGGTCTCATAAGATAATATGGATTTTCCTTGAATCTAAGATATCCTCAGTCGTTAAGTTGCACCATTGTTTGATGTACCACTAAAGAAAAAAATGCTGCCCATTAAAATAAGACACGGCACTTTCTTAGGCTTTTATTTTGTAATTACCAAAAGAGCTTTTTTAGGCATAGGTAAGCATAGATTATTTTAATCACTCCTGAATATTTTATACATACACACACACATACATTTATGTCAGAAAATGTAGGTTAAATAAATTGAGTAAGGCATTCCTAAACCTTCTTCCTATTTAGTGTCTGGCTTTCCTAAATTACTTTTTGAGTCAGAGTCCTTAGTGTTCGTGTTTCACCATAAGATTGTTCTCTGTGCCAGTGAGGCAGCAAAACTGAATAGATATCCACCATTTTCTCTGGTAATTCCATCTAAACTACTGGACACATTCTGTAAGTTTTGCTGGTACTTTCTTGATTTTGCCAGAATGTGTCAACAGAAGATTTTTCAGATAAAAATCAGGATTCATATCATATTCCTTTTCAAATGGTCTTGAAATGGTTTGATTGAAACATCCATTTATCACCATTCTCCAGCCAAGCCACAGAAATAACCAAATTCCAGCATGCTTAGGTCATGATAGCTACATTACTACCATGACTGCCACCTGACGCACAGGGATTGTTGAGACCATCAAGGGTAAGACATCCTTATTTCTAATAAGATATGAAAACAACGGATGTCTTAGAATCGAAGAAATATGGTATTAAAGAAAAATCACAGTGGTGTATAATAGAAAAAAAATGAGCTCTAATTAAGGGCATATATGTGTGTGCTCACACACACACATTATTCTAGAAAACAAAATTCTAACACAGACAAGTCATTTTAATCCCTAGATTTTTGTTACATAAATTTACCTGCATTTATTAAGATATTTAGACATTTTAGCTATGTCCCATTGAAAAACTCTCCTATCAAAAGTTGAATGATTACGGTCATGACAAACTATATGTTAAACACTTTTAATTTATTATTTTATGTGATTTCATATATCTGATTAAAGATAACCCGTCAAACTGATGGGGAAGTATTGAAAAAGTCCTCATTATATTCCATGCAAACTGATATTTTTCTCTGAACGTTAAAACGTGCTTTCTCAACTTTCAAAATGAACAGATGTTAAAAATAAATAATAAATGCCCCAGCCACTGAATGTTTCTTGCTCTCCTCTCCGCCTCAGGTCCCGTAAGCAGTGTTTTGGTGAATAGGTACGGGAGCCGGCCGGTGGTGATCACAGGAGGTCTGCTGTGCTGTTTGGGGATGGTCTCCGCCTCTTTTAGCACCAACGTGGTAGAGCTCTACCTCACCGTGGGATTCATCGGAGGTGAGCGAGGTTTCGTTTTCAGCTTTTTCTCTTCTTAACATTCTGCAGTTGACAAAGCTCTGTAAGAAACACGAACGACAGAAAATTTTTTTTTGTTTTCTTTGAATTAACTTGTTATATCGGATGTTATCTTAAAGTATTTGCATCTAGTGCATTGAAATACCAGCTATAGAATGGCCAGTCCGACTCATTTCAGGAAACGGACAAAACGAGTTATCAAACAAGTGTATTGCCGTCATATAAAGGTCAAAATAACCCAGCTTTGTTTGTTTTTACTGTTTTAATCTTTACTCTTCAGCCAGTTAAGATGGTACTGTGGACACAGACTTTCTGGCATAGATAGCTTCATTTTTTTTAAATTTATTTTTTGTTACTTATTACCATTTAGAGTATACGAATTATCACTCATAGTTAACTCATAGGTTAAAAATGATGCCAAAAAAGTTTCTGGGTGCACTGTTTTCACTTTAACAATAGAATTGTTGTCTGTGCTCTGATCAGTGGTCGAGCTCTGTGTCAGTGTCCCTTCTTTTCCTTCTTAAAGGATTCCAACAGTTGGAAAGCCCTGTAAGACACATTTGCCACTAAACACAAATGTGTTTAAATGACATCCTGTCACTTGATCATAGTTGTTTGACTCAAACTGACCTGAATATGTACATTTGAAAACACTGTTTTGTTAGCCTCAACAATAAATTGCGTTAAACAAATCTACACTCAAAGTTTTAAAAAAATTAGACTTCAGGATATAAAGAAATTGAATCTTTTCCTTATGTCCACAGATAAAAAGGTAAATATATTTCTCTTTTTGTAGTGATTTTAGATCAGTCTAAACTTGCACCTATGTTTCATTTGATGAAAAAAAAATTAAATGTATTAAAACCTTATCACAGTAACAGTGATGTTAAAATTTTTCTCTTGACGACTCTTCCTTTTTGATTGGGTAAAACACCTTTTCACGTTGTAGATGAGAATCTTTTTATATCTAAGAATTGTCATAGTGGAGAGAGTGCTCTTTGCTTTGTGCCGAAATACTATGTATTGCATTTGGCCATAGAAGTCAGACTGGGCCTGCAAGTAGATGTATTAGGAAAAGATGATTTTGATCTGACTGTGCCACAAATATCAACAGCGTTATGTATTACTCTGACTTCGATTCCATTCCTTTGGGTCTTGAAGGCTTTGGTGCTTCTAGAGTCAACCATTATATATGGTTTATAGCAGGGATTTATTTCCAGTAATCATCAACCAATACTTCTCTGCTATCTGAAATCAGACAGGTCTAGTTGCTAAACCCGACTCAGCACGTATGAGCCATGTGATCATGAGTAACTTAACCTTCTTATCCCTCAGTCTCTTTGTCTTCAAAATGGGGAAAATGATAACTCTTTGGGAGCTGTTGGAAGGATTGATGTAAAAAGTGAATATGTAGTACTTTACAGAGTGCCCAGCCTTTTATTACTTTTAAATAAATATTAGCAAATAATAATAGTCACAATGCTGTTTATATAACATGTTACAGTTCTAGAACTTACTTGATTTGGGCAAAACGCTTTTTTTGTGGTTGAAGGAATTGGAGCTCAAGAAGTCTGTTTGGTCCAGGGGTATACATAGGCAAGTAGTTGAAATAGGTTCAGGTCTTTGGATTTCAAATCTCACTTTTTTTTTCTTCTTTTTTGCCATACCAGAATAGGAAATAGATGGCCACTATCTCCTAAAGAGAATTTGGTTTAGCATCTGAAGGCAGAATTCCAGGTGACAGATTAGGGGTCGGGGAGGCAGCAGCATAAAATAAAGAAATTTGAACTTTGACACACAGTTCCTGGGTTTTAACTTAGGTTCCTCCGCTTAGAATCCACGTGGCCACAGGTTGGTAGTTTTCTTACCGACAGGTTGTATCTAGCTATGCTTGTTCTGCATCTCTCACAGGTGTGGCTGAGGTAGAATCAGAACGCTCCCCTGTGCCTTTCCACAGCATCTTTTTGTTCCTTCAGGTCAACTTTTAGGGACCCTCCTACTCATGGAAAACCTTTCTATTAAAGGTTTGGAATGAGTATTTTGTACACAGAACTGAGTGTCCCGGAATCTAAATACTTAACGGCTTTGCCCTACTGTGTCATTTACATCAATTAGTAAATGCAGAGGAATTCTTGCTTCTATAGCCCCTAAAATAATATAGAATAATACCAAGGCTAAGGGGGAAAGAGAGGTAGTTTATATAAATCAATTTTATGTACTTCTCAAACAAACATTCACTACTATTGCTAAATATTCCTTTGGCTAGCTCTAAGAAGGAATTCATTTCTCAAAGGTGATGCTCAACACTGCTGAGGAGTCCCCTAGACAGTAGGAACTTTTGACTTATATAAACAATCAGCTTAATCCAAGAATTAAGAATATATTTCAAGCAAAAAAAAATTTATTTTTTTAGTTAGCATACGTGTGCCTCTGTATTTATGAAATAGGGAATGTGAGGGATACATACCATGAAATTAATGGCATGAATTTATTACTCTTTTTTATTATTTGCATGGTTTTGAAAGAAATATCTTTGAGGGTTTGTTAGGTTGTTTATAAATGATAACCTGTTTAGTCTTTTCACATTTCTTCAACTCTAAAAAGGAAGTATTCACATTTTAAATGCATTCTTGCCCACAAGAAAGAAATCTATTCTGTATATGTGTATATAGGTATAGAGAGTTTAATTTATCTGTGGAAGTGATTGTAATTAAGAACTAATAATTTTGTCCTAGTTTTAGCCTGTTCTGATTATTGAAACATCAGTAGAAGTTCTTGGCTTTATTTTTGTGCTTTAAAATGAAAGGAATATGAAGCTGTCATACATATCCTATCCAGTTATGAGAACCTTTCTGTTTATCTGGAATTCTATTGATATTTACAGTTATCAAAAATTACTGCCTGCCCTTGCATTTTCAGTTCTGCCTTCCCCACTTGAATGTACGTTTTGAATAGTAATTGCTTTTGTGACTGGCATAATGTGTTTGTGTTTTTTGTCCTTTTCTTTTGTTTTTTTAGGTATAGGTCTAGCCTTCAACCTGCAGCCAGCTTTAACAATCATCGGCAAATACTTCTATAAGAAACGACCCATGGCGAATGGACTTGCCATGGCAGGAAGTCCTGTTTTCTTAAGTACCTTGGCTCCTTTCAATCAGTACCTTTTTAATACTTTTGGCTGGAAAGGAAGCTTCTTGATTTTGGGAGGTATATTGTTGAACTCCTGTGTGGCTGGGTCCCTCATGAGACCCGTTGGACCCAAACAAACTAACAAGGCTAAAAATAAGATTGGCATAAAAGCAGATGAAGCAGAGGCTAAGAAAAGCCATAAGAAGTCACTAAGCGAAAAAATTAATAAGTATTTAGACTTCTCTCTTTTTAAGCATAGAGGATTTCTGATATATTTATCTGGAAATGTCATTATGTTCCTAGGGTTTTTTGCTCCCATTATATTCTTGGCTCCGTATGCTAAAGACAAGGGGATTGATGAGTATTCTGCAGCGTTCTTGCTGTCTATTATGGCTTTTGTTGATATGTTTGCTAGGCCTTCTGTAGGATTAATAGCAAACTCCAGATTTATCCGACCCCGAATCCAGTACTTCTTCAGTTTTGCGATCATGTTCACTGGAGTATGTCATCTCTTGTGCCCACTGGCAGAGGACTACACAAGCCTGGTGTTATACGCTATATTTTTTGGCCTTGGATTTGGGAGTGTTAGCAGTGTCCTCTTTGAAACTCTCATGGACCTTGTTGGTGCTCAAAGGTTTTCCAGTGCCGTGGGACTTGTCACAATTGTGGAGTGTTGCCCGGTTCTTCTTGGCCCTCCTCTTGCCGGTAAGAATATTTCTCATCAAAGGAAAGCAAAAAGCATAAATTAATATCCATTAGCTGAGACTTTCTTTGTCGTGTATAACGTAGTTTGTAATAATAAATACGAATAGCCTAAAAGACTGTGGATATGTTAACTTTAGGTTTTTCATATATTTTTAAACTCATAATTTGGCAATTTTGGACCTAAATTTGTTTCAGAGCCTGGACCTGTGAACATATGAATTTAGGTTAGGCTGATAATTAGTAGCATAATTTTTAAGCTTTTACCCATATCCAGTTGTTTTGTGTTTTTAAAAACGTATCAGAAAAATAAAATGCCACTTTTTCATTGGTAAGCAGATTTCTCTTCTGCTTGTATTAAAATGAGTCAAAAGTTTAAAATAATGTTCTTAAAAGGTCAGGATCTATTTTCTTATTGGAGTACATTGGTTATGTTAATTTGGAACTTGTTACACACCAAAGGAAAGAATGCTTTTATATCACTGATAGGAATATAGGAATATGTGTGTGTGTATATATGTATATGGAACGCAGGAATGAAGGGAAATTCATTTAAGGTCATTTTTTGATCAAATACTTATATTCCATATGTATAAAGATTACCTTTAGATTTTAAGATCTGAGATATTTTTAATGATGCCTATAAAAAAAGCTGTGCGAAATTACCCAACCAGGAGACTAAGTAAAGGCAAATGTGTAATCATTTTTGAAGTTAAGACTTTGTTTAGTCTTAGACTTTAATGTTTTAAATATTAAACACTTTTTGCGAGCCGGTCTTTTCCAGTAACACCGCATGTTGTCTCGGTTAATACTAATCTTGGGCATTCACCTAGACCTGTGGCCTGCCCCCTAGTGGTCAGAGTGACTGCGGGGGGGCCAACACAAATGTTTCCATGTGTTTTAGTCGTGACCTTTCACCTTTTGCTTCTTGGCTTGGTCAGGAATGAGCAGTGTAGTTGTTGACTTTTTCTGTCCACCAGGAGGCTGGTATCGAGCACAGATGTTTTGGGTGGTATATCTCTCACCATGAATATACCATGGCACCAAAACAATTTTCAAAGAGTGAAAGCCAGCAGACCTTATTTATCAGCCAACTGATTTTTTTATATAAGACAAATACAATTGGCCTGTCTTTTCACACAGATTTAGTTTTATCAAATGGGTTTGGGAAGCCTATTCATTGGCAATAAAATTTTTAGTATCAGCAGAGAAAATTGTTTTTCACTGCTATGGTGGGATGAAAAAAAATCAAGTCTGGTCAACAGACACAGTGGGTGGGCTCAAAGGATGAAAATGAGGGAATCTGATTTACCCACTCCTACCTGTGCGAGAACCTGTATTATTAACATTTACATCAATTTCAGGAGCCTTGAGTGTTTATTGTGTTATTATTGCCAAACCATTGTACCAGTGGTGGCCATGGTAGTAATTGACTTGGGGCTCCTTGTTGAAGCTCGCAGACCACAGCCATAATAGATCCATGTTTTTTGTTCTGTTTCTGCCTGTTGCTACCCCTGGTTCTCCTTGACTTTTAGATGGTTTCTCCCCTATAGCATCAGGTCACTGCTAGGCTGCTGTCTGGCACAAGTAGGCACTCAGCAAGTACTTCTGAATGAATGAGTGTCATAGTTACTTCTTACACAGTTGCTGCTGCCGCTTCTCTGGTTAGTAGAGCAGTGAACGGTAGGGAGAGCGTGATTTTATTTCTGTTTTTTTAACCCAAACTTTCCCTGCAGCCCTCACAAAGAGCTGAATGAAGCGTTAGTGCTGGAAATCATATCTGGATTCTTGATGATGCTAAAAACTTCCCAAAACATTTAGAAAGTATGTTGAGATGGCAGCCCAAAGTGATACTAACTCTGATGGGGCCGTAGACTGAATGTTTCCATATTTGGAAATGTAACAATCGTTGTATGAATAGAAATACTTGACTACAGTTAGAATGGAAAATTAAATTATGCAATTTTTGTTATGTTTATGTATATGTCATACTTACTCAAATGAACCTTTCCACCATTTACCTAATTAAAACAGGAAGCTTTGTTTAAATAATTTCACAAGTAACTAAATTTAATACTGAGCCACTGACTAGATTGCGGTCAGAATGCTAAAAATTCTGACTCAACAAACAGGTCTATATCAGAATCATCTGGAATATGCATATGATAAGTAATACAGATTTGTGTACACTAAAGTTTGCTGATACTAATTATTAGGAATTAGGTACCTGCATAAGCAAGAGGCAAAACTAAGTATCAACTGAAACATTTTTCAAAGTCAATAAACCTTCAGATTATATGGCACCAGGCTAGTTTTTAAATGTCTCAATAATCAAATGGAACAAATACTTTCTTCCTGATTAGTTTGGCCTTAGTAATTTAGATTCAGGTAAAGAAAAAACTGTGATTAGCCCAAAAAATGAGATGACACTTAACCAAGAGCTTTGGTTAAGCCATTTTGCAGAGTAGTTAAGAATATGAGATTCAGACAGACCTTAGCTAGAGTCCAGATTCTGCCACTCTCTGGCCATGTAATGATGGTCAAAGTACTCCCTAGCACTCTTGCAAGGATTAAATGAGACCTTACAGATAAAGTGTTTAACCTAGTACTGGGCACAGAGAAAACATTTAGTAAATATTATGCCCTGCCAGGAACCTTATAAAAGCCTTTGGGTCCTTTCCTAATGAATGTAATTTTTCCCTCTTTGTTGAAAAGATTGGAAGCATAGAAAGATAAAGCAATCTCAATGTGTATGCTATAAATAAATTGATAAATATATCTATCTCTACACATACAGAGATCAAAAATGTACCTCACGCATGTATATATTTATGAATATATACACAAACACATATATATCTACTTTGTCTTGGTTGTACATTTTTATTGAATTTCAATAAATTTGACACACTGGTAATGTAGTGCTGTATGTGCCTATGCATGCCTTTACTATGCATATATAAAAGTCATGATCTAGAATATTATTTTCTTTGTTAAAGTCTCATTTAATATTAAATAAGAAATAGGTATGCACTTTGGGGAAGAGTTTATTTGAAAATGCTATCATTTTATGGCTGTTTTATTATACTATCTTACAAGGTATTCTTTGTCTCTTAGGTAAATTGGTGGATGAAACTGGACAATATAAATACATGTACATAGCCTGTGGCGCCATTGTGTTCCTATCCAGTGTGTGGCTGCTCATTGGTAACGCTATAAACTATCGATTGCTTGCAAAGGAAAAGAAGTTGGCAGAAGCAGAGAAGAAGATACATAAGCCTGAGTCCACAGAATCTGAACCCTTGAGCAAACCTAACCATTCCGATGTTAATGTCCAAAGCGCGAGAACAGAGGATCATCCCTCAGAAAGAGAAACGAATATTTAACAAGAACCGCATTTCTGATTTCAGTGTTTATGACTCTCCTAGGAGTATTTCTTTTTTTCAAAATATTGGAAAGGTTTTTAAGTGAAATTTGGAGTCATAATTAAGGATGGAGATGAGATTTTCCTCAATGGCAAATTTCAAATGTTTGTGTTTTTTAAAACTTATTTGGGCAGTTAACTGTTGAGATGATGCATGCAAAGCATCCACGCAATGGATTTATTTCCATACATGACTCTGGTTGTGGTGGTTAAAATAATTTTAAAGTCTTCCAGTGATTTCCAGTCTTGGTTATGGGGACTGAATCCCAAATGCCTGGTTTAAGTAGTTAGAAGGAGTGTGTTTAATCGTGTAGGAATATCCTTTCCACATTTCATTTGATATTAAAGTATGAAATGGAATTGAGGGAAAATGAATTTTCGCCTCATGCACCCACCCACCCACATGCACACAGTCTCACAAACTTACGCACATGCACACAGAGTATCTGGAGAACAAAAGTTCCAAAAAATATTATCACCCTACTTTTTTTTTTTTACTTAAAAAAACATCCATGGGAAAAAAAGAAATGTATTATATCTGCCTTCTATTTTACAGCGTGGATTTTAAAGATAAGAACATGGGTGAAAATGAGGGTGACCTTAATTTGAAAATGCAACTAACTGCTGTAAAAAAAAGTGTTTGCATTTATAAAATAAATTTTAAAAGAACACTCCATTTTATACCATTATTTGATTTGATTCATCCGTGTACATGATTTCTTTGAGAGCGGCCATCAGTACCTGGTGCTAGAGAATAGAACTCTCAAATAATTTTCAAAATTCTGACCTAATATGTAAATCAAATTAGAAGCCTAAACAACTGCTAGCAGTGGGCTATGTCCATAGATTTTAAAAAGATTTTAGTTAGTAATCCAGAAAGTCATAACCAAGGACTTCTTTTAACCAGAACTCAATCCAGACTCACTGTCCTACCGAGACATCAAAGTCGAGTCCAACGGAATCCTGGTTGACAGGTGTATAAATTGGCCGCATTCTGATTTCTCCCAGCACACAGCCATGATTGCAGGGTTACTGCTAAGCGTAATCCATTTGAATAAACTACAAATGGGAGGTGCTTATAATGAGACCTCCAAACTCTCTCCTTCCCTCCCTTCCCCAAAAAGCAAAAGCAAAAAACAGAAACCCAAACAGGCTTTTTACTCAGCCGCTGGAAATGACTCATATTATAGGAATGGCAGCCCTTGAAAATTTCGCCCTGTACTGATTAGACTTCCTACTGCCTGTGAACAAAACTAAACCAAGAGAGTGTTGAAGAGGCTTCTAGAATTGGAGGCTGTGTGTGACTTGGTATACCCTTGTGAAGTGCATGTACAGTTTATAACACGATAGCAGGAAGCTGGCCATACTGCAGCCCAGGTTAACTTAGCAGTTTCTCATTTTCATAACTGTGAAAAGATCTGGGAATCTGAATCACTCGCGTACAGAGACATATGATAGCTCTGTGCAATCAGAACTATAAATACCTCTTCGAGTGATAAAGTACTTTTAAACAAGAAAGAAGATGTGCGTTATGGTTAAAGTTATAAATATTTACATCTATAGATCTGAAGTTTAAATTAAGTTCGTGATTAACAGAAAGCATTTTGTACTTGATGATTGACGTGATGTCACTCTTAAACTGTCAAAAGGAATTTGCCCTGCATTTTTTTTTTTTATTGCAGTAGAAGCAGATGCTCTTCTTCTTTCCTGTAAGTTTGCACCTGGATACCAAGCTTTTGTGACAGTTAACATTGAGGATTTGATTTGTAAAATGTGTGCATTGTTTAAGCATATGGCTCATAGTTAGTAAGCTATATAAAATTCCATATTTCATTTAACATTCGCTTTTTGCATATGAAGAGGTATTTATATTTTTCAAATATAAGTAAAACGATATGTGCCAATACCATTGGTAAATAAATCAGGGAAGATGTGGCAGTATGTGGCTGTTTTTAATTTAGTTTCACCCAATCTTGAGTCTTGACTGAGCTACTTTTATATTATTAGCACTTTTGTATTCAACTCTGACTCGCCATAAGAAATGCGACATCATAAATTGTGTAGTAGCTCTCCAATCCTAAACATTTCCAAAAAAAGTGTCTTGAATTCTCTAAAGATATATATTTAAGCTAATATAGATATCAGACCCCCGGGGGAAATAAACAGCAAAGTAAGGAGGGAGGGGTTTTAGGCCTAAGGCTGTATAGTCCCTTAATCACCTGCTGGTGAGACAGGCTGGTGGTGCCTTCCAGGGGCTCTCTCCATGAAAGGAGGTTTATTGACTTACCGATGAGTTTCTTGTTAAGTCAAAACCAATTTCTATTTGTTCTATTGTACTTTGGTCACCTGCATCAACTTTGCATTTCTAATCCTGATTCTATTAAATTGTTAAAAAAGAGAGGGAAGTCGAAGTTTGCGTGTTTGAAGCACATGGTCTGTAGACCCACGTGCCTGGCAGTCACTCTGCATCAAGTTACAAACAGGCACGCAAATTAAGTCCCAAACGTAAAGGTTGAAAATTAAATCGGTACTCACTTGGAACAGGGACGTAACTCACATACAGGATTCGGATTTGTTCGAGGGTAAAATTAATTTTCCTTCTTGTTCACTTTCCCCCTCCCTTGAACTTGTTGGAATATTTGTTGCTTTAACAGAATCTTTCAAAGATTGAAAAGAGAGTATCAGCCTAGAGCATTCATTATTAAATAGTCACGTAAATGGAGGAAGAAACATAGTTGGCTTCTGTGTCTGCAACAATTCGTGCAAAATATACTTCTTCCCCTAAGGAAGGACAGGTTTTAGATGTTCAAGGTATCATCAAGCAAAGTCAGTACACCATTAACATCGTTTTTAGTCCCATTTAATCCCATTCTCCATTATGGAATTGTGCAGAAGGAAGCTTATTATAAACCAGAATACCAAAATAATTCTTGCTCACTGGCTAGTTCAAGTACTTTTCTGTTTGTGATAACTGAGTATCCCTTATTTTTCACGCTTTAACCTTAAATATGCCTTCACTAATTTATGAATAGAATATTCAGTATAGACTTGTCCTGACCTGTTCCCACCGTCTTTCCTGATCCTTGTTTGGATCCAATCAGCACACATTTAAGAGGCAGTGGGTCAGACTCTAGGCTATTTTACGTTGGAAACATGATGTTTTCTTGATGTAAATCTACATGGTTCGTAAGTTTCACTTCTTTAGTACCAGGTTCCAACCACGTCATCTCATGCCCCCCAACCCCCACTGGATGCTAGGAAATAAGTAAAATAATTAGGTTTGATATATTTGAATGTGCACTTTAAAATCTAGGTATTTTTTACTCATCCTTCTCTGGCTGCTTATGACAATTGAGGATACAGAAAAACGACCACAAGCTGTGTGATATAAATGTAAGTTTTTATATTGATGTTATCAAATATAGAAATATCCTTAATCAGTTAGTTGAAACTTATTTTCCATCTAAAAATATCTTTTTTTAAACAAAAACACTCTCTTATGTATAATGTTGCAGACTTTTAATAAAACAAAATAAAAAATCACGATCATTAGGCTCAATGTAATAGGGAGAAAGGATGGAAAGTGGGAAGGGAACTAATATTTATTTGTCACACATTTTGCCTGCATAATACCTTTTAATAATCAAACCAAATCATGAGTAGAGGCTATTGGCCTGATATAATAGATGAGTGAAACAAACAAACAAAAAAACAGACAAAGAAGTTCAGGAAATTACCCAAAGTTAAAAGGTAGTATGTGACAGAACCAGAACTAAAACTCAGGTTTGTCTAAAGCAGAGAGAGCCCCTTAGGTGTTGCATGCTGTCCCCTAATAGAAGCTGTAGAAGCAAATGTAGATAAAATATAGATACAAAAATTTAAACCCTGTATGGTAAACCAATTAGCTTTAACTGTAATTTGTATTATAATTTATTTAGTGTTTATTAGGAATTGCATTTGCAATAATCTGAATATATAATTCTAAGTTGCCTGCCTTTCTAGCCAATGCAAATTATCCCAAATAATGGTAATGATTATATAATAGCTGTAATTGTTTTAATGTGACTTTTTTCATAAAAATAATGACATATTTATATGACTCAGCGTAATATATTTTCCCTGAGGTTGGGTTTAGAAGAAAAATGTTATTTTCTTTATGGATAAGTAATTCCCATATTGGTTGCTACTTGTTATGGCTCAAAAATGAAAAGTACTTACTATGAAACATCTTATTCAGGATTATAGTGATTCCCATTTATAGGATTATCCCAAGCTACCCAAAAAATTTTTAAAAAGTTATGCGATACAAATGATTTGGTTTATCTATGCTGTATATATTTATTTTCATCATTCAATGCAACTGCCCCTGCCCCCAACTCATTTTTCACATTTCCCTGAACATCTATATTGTCATTCTCCTTTCTGTCCGTTGTTCTGTAGAGAAAACAAGTGCCATTGCTTCTGCCCTCTCCATGTACTTTTGACATCCTTAGAGTATTGTTCTCCTTAGTTCTATTTCAGACAGTGTCTATTCAGACAGTGCACGTCTGATGTCTTACATCCTTCACACAGTCACCCATGCTGCATCTGGTTTTATTTATTTGTGATTTTCAGAAATGGCCATATTCCTGGAGCCAACAGTATATACTTTTGGCCATGATCACTCATCTTTACAAATAAGGGCCTGTCAGCTTGGTTTCCTGGATAAGGAAGGTGTTTATATTCTAGAAAACTTTTAGTTAATATGAGTCTTCCTTATGCGTGATAAAAAATAATCGAGTATGATTTTTAAGAATATAGAAAAATCGATCTTCCTATTCTTGTCACTTACTCTTCTGGATGTTACTCATTTTCTTAAAGTGCCTCACAGCTTTGAGAAACAAAGCTTACCATCAGAGCATAACACCATTACATATCATCCTGTAGACTCACTTGTGAAGTGACGTCACTGATACATCATACCAAGTAGATTTCTTATCACAACGGTTCACAATACCAAAAAGCGTCAAAATTATTGAGATAAAAATTGCAATTACAATCTTTTCTTTACTCATGTCACTTTTTTCATGTTTGAGAAATGCATTTAAAAGCTGAGAGGCCCAATTATCAGTAATTAATTATAATGCTTGTATAATCAAAATCATAAACTATATTTATAATTAAAAAGTGAATAATTTGCTGAACTCACATCATTTTTGGTAGTTCTGATTTCTCTTCTTTTCTATCAATTGGTTGTATGCTGTAGATTTTAACTCTTACAGGGTCCTACCGTCTGGTTTAATTTATCCCTGAGCTAACATCTGTGTCCATCTTCCTCTACTTTATATGTGGGATGCCCACCACAGCATGGCTTGCCAAGCAGTGCATAGGTCCACATCCAGGAGCCAAACCAGCGAACCCCTGGGCCGCCAAAGCAGAACGTGCAAACCTAACTGCTGTGCCACTGAGCCGGCCCCTATATGGGAATGGTTTTAGACCAAATTATTTCTCTCATCCCAGTTGCGTGCTGCTTTACCTTCTCCCCCTCCTTTTTTTCCTATAATTATTATTAAAAATTATTTTCCTTTCATTATTTTTCACAATGTGTGGGTCAGCTTCTTTAAGGTTTTTCATCTAATTATGGACATTTTTGACAGAATTTTTGTTTCTTTCTTCGAGTTTAGTTAGACTTCCCCTATTTGCATGATCTCCATGTGTTTCAGTCTTCATATGTACTTGTTAACGAGGTGAGTAATGTTCAGGAATATTTCAGTAAGCAATTATTCAGTGATCATAAATTTGTTACCATTTCAACAAAACAAATTTTTCTTTCTTTGTTTTAAATCCAAATATGATGAAGTCAGCTAGAGAAGCTCTGAATGAAAATGCTGAGAGTCGGCATTGTGCTAGGGCCTGACTCGGTAGAAAGTACTGTTCAGATGCACCAAAGAATGGGATTCTTATCTCACATGAATTTCGGGCAGAAATTTTAAAACATATTCTTCTGACTAAGCCCTTCATTCTGGGCTTGTTGTTTCACTCCCATATGCATCTAAAAAATGGTGTTAGGTTAGACCCAGTCTACAAAGCTTGTTGGCTAGAGTACAAATTTCTGATATACTGTGTAGTGGACTTTATTTTTCTAGCACATACTTTCTATTTCTAACTAAAGTATGAATATTTCTGAATTTAGTGGGAGAGGACATGTGAACTAAAGTGTTTCTTTTCTAAGCATTAAATGTAATTATATTTTGATTTGTATTGTATTCTCTTTTTGATATATTTATGTACCAAAAGATATATTTAATTAATTTGTTTCATCTTCTCAACCCTCTACATTAGGTTGATTAGATATCTACATTTTTACTGAATAAGACTAGATCAGGTTAAGGGCTTTGCCTAAAAATGTATCTGTTCTTTGAGTAAATGCAGGGTTGGAAATAGAACCCAGGTCTTTTGACTCTTAACCCACTTTTTTCCCCATTGCACTACATAAGCCATCCTGTTTGTGACGGTGAACTTTATAGAGTGAAAACATGTTTTCCTGGAGACCTTTTTTCTAACCTTACTTCATAAATCCTTTATTTCCAAAATGAATGTGTTTCTCCTAACTGAATCATACTTTGCAAAATCACATTTGTAAATTTAATTTCAAGACTATTTGCTTATTCCCACAGCAAATAATTCTGAGTAAATTGGACATGATAACTAGTGAGACAAATGATTTTGCACAATATATGTTGCTATAGCAATATTTAAGTCCTTAAAAAAAATTCTCACCGATAATGTGTTTATAGACTCCATATGTCAATATTCTATTAATTCATTTTTTGGTTTATGTTCATATTTTATTTTAGAAACATCATTCACTTTCCTGAAAGTATAGTGCCAGAGCACAGAACACACAATCCAAGTTTGCTAAATTAAGTCATGTAAAGAAACTATTGCCATTGTATAACCTTAAGGAGAAAATCTCGACAATATTTCTTGATCCAAGAGTCTAAGGATGAGTTAAAATTATTAGCATAAGATCTGCCTCAAAAAGTTCCTGCTTTTTAAATGGTCCTTTAAAATAGTTAACCCTAAAATCTTCAACAGGTGTCTGGCGACAGTAAAATTAGAGTTTCTTTTATCCTAGAGATCCCGTCTACCTCCATCCCCGTCTTCTCTAGATAGATATTATTTCTAGATTTTTCCCTTTTGATTCCACTCCAGGAAAAAACATGACTTCTAAATAAAAGATTCGTGGTGAAGAGGAGAGTGCTTGCTATTAGGAATTTGCTCTGTAAAAGTGTAAAAAAAGTAATCTATACTCAGTATTCATTCGTTTGGTTCATCAAGTATATTTACCATAAGAACATACTTAATAAAAGTTTTGATAAACTGGTGTGTCACAATAAAATCTTGCATGAAGAGGGC